AGGAATATGTCTTGTGGCACTAATAGGACAAGAACGCTGGAGATCTGTATGTGGGTATCACTCAACGTATTGTAGAAGTTTCACCGTCTGTTCTGCTAAATTCCTAACGGTGACACCATTAAGTTCATGACTTGCAGCTTTACAGCTTAACATCTGTACCTCTGTTTGCAGATTTCACCTGTGACAAGTCTACAGTAACAGATTTCTGTATATACATTCTGTTGAACTGTAAACTGTGAAATTCCAGGGACTACTTCCTTTTTATTACTGTTTGACTGAAAGAGATTTATATTGATGTAAATGAAACAAATAAACAAAAATCCTCCGTTGAATCATGTGTAACTCACGTGTCCTAGATGGCAGGTTGAATTCTTCTCCTTGCACGTCCAAGCTTGGAATAATTTTATCACAGAAGAAGTAACAGAACTGGAGCCATTTCTCCACAGAAGTTAGGAGGTTACGCTTGCAGGTTCTGGCACAGGCTGAACAATCCCATTAGGTGTGCAGCTGTTCAGCTACTGGCTCTAATTCAGTGAAGCACTGGTGTCTGCTTAGGTCGCATCCCCATAAGCTGAGCATTGCTGCGGTGTCCAGAGTTCGGTTTGCACGTTAGTACTGCAAGTGTCTGCTCATCGTCCTACGCTGCTGAAATGCTGGGCATGCTAGTGTAACTAACCACAGAAATAGGTGTTTTAGGTGGAACAGTGCAGGCTACCAAGGGATAAAGAAAAGCTTTTATGTATAGGACAGGAGCTAGGAGTACTTAAGTGCCAGTTCTTTATCTGGATGCTTCACTAGGGAATTTTTTCTCTTTTAACTAGATCTCGCTATAAAAGGTTTTACACTATGCTTCATTTACAGTGTGCCTTTCACTTTTAGCTTTTGCGCCAGCTGTTGCACCAAGATGTGTGTAGCTGTGGAGCAGGAAAAGGGAGCTTACCCAACTATTGGATAGGACAGCCAGATAAATACTTTTTTCTCAGGCTTCCATGTAAAAATACACGTATTATGTGTTACAGCTTCTACTGTACAAAGTCATGGCTGGAGGTTCTTGGCACTTGCCGTGAGTTACTCTGCTTTTCACTCACTACAGCTATTATTATTGCTACATCTGGCATAGCGGTAGCGTTAGCTGTTTATTGTGCTTGTATCTCTTTTATGTAGAAACTTCCTACTGGAAAAGGAAGGGTAGTTTTGCATGTGCCATGACTTCCTAACCTAAGAAGTGCAGCCTTTTCCTTTCCCTTGCTATAAGAAATGCAGTGAAGGTTAATCACAGGCAAATTACATGAAGTTTTGTTGTTTGGTTTGGGGGTTTTTTTTAAACTGTTTTAGAAGAACGATGCTCAAATTTTTACTTTCATGATTTAGGATTGGTTGAACAGCGAGATGGGTGAAGGATGAGTTTTGCTTTGAAGCAACTTAATGGTGAAGAATACAAAACTGTCATCCTATGGCAGCAGTATGTAGCATAGACTTAATCCTGTCTTTTGATATCTACTGGACCTCCATTAACCTCATTCATCCTACATACAAAGTCACTAGTGATTTAAAGCTGACAACCTGAAAAAAGTGCTTTAAAGCACACTGCAGCTTACATTTTTTATAAAAAGTTGACACATACAAAGAATAATATAGAATAACATCAGATCCATCAAAACTTCAGTGCAATTAATAGAGTTTTATGGAGGCGTTCATCATTGTAACGTTTGTGTCAATCATTTGGTCAAAATTCACTATTAACTAAAATGACAGGCAGGTTGATACTGACAATGTGTTAAATTTTGTTTAAGCAACATAAGGGACTTGAAGGGAGTATTTCTCATTATATTTAGAAACAAAATACATTTCCAGTTTAATGTATGACTTGTTTTCCTAGGCTAGACTTCGTGTTAAACTAGTTTGAGTAGTCATTTCTTTTGACACTTCTGTCTCATTTGTACACCGCTTCCAAAAAATGCTTCATTATGGCAGGAAATCTATTTTTAAACCTTCTTGATTTAAAAAAAAGCACAAAAACAAAAGTACCATGTTGTTACTTGAGCTGAACATCTTGAATTTCCACTAAGGGCTACAGAATTATCCTTGCACGTGCTTGTACTTGTTTCTATCTTTTTATTGAGCTAGATCTACTTTTCCTTGGCTAAGCTTTAAATTTTCTATCCTTCAGAGTTGGATACAGCATGTAAAAGCAGTTTGGCACTCTGCTTCTGATCTTGTTTCACTTTAAATATCTTAGTTCTAAGCTATTGTACAACTTTTTTTTTTCTTCCTGCAAAACCAGTTTGATTTTACTGTCTTCAGTGTAAAGGTCAAGGAATAGTTAAACCTTATGCTTTGTTTTGAGTCTCTTTGATAATTGTTTTCCCTACAATAAAAGGTTGGGGGGTTTTATTTCCTCGAGGAAATACATGCATTGTTTTGTAGAGTAGTACAAAATATTGATCAAGACCTAGTACTTTGAATACAATGGTCTTCTGGCTCTGCTTTAGGGTTGGTTTTATTTTTTTAGGACAAAGCTGTGTAGTTTTTCATGCAGTGTAGCTCGCTAATTTAGCAACTCCGTACCGAAGTGTTGCTAAGTTCACCTACTAAGTGTGTTTGTGATGAAGTCCTGTGGCCTTAGAGTCCTTCTTGCAGTCTGGGTTCTCTCCCTTTTTAACGTTGCAGACCAAAGCATAGGCTCTGGGGAAAAACCCTGCCATCACTGTTGTCTGACTGCTCTTTCAGGCACAAATGGAATGATACAATTGCAGCTCTAGCTTTGGCTATTCTCTCCTTTTCCTACTTGACACTAGTAATAAGGTAACTCTGGCCTTGAAGGCTTCCTTAAATATGGAAACTAAATAAATAATTAAGTATGAATGGTACTCGCAAATCCTTCCACTGGCTTCTAATTTATGGTTAAAGGTTGAATGTTTACTACCAGGTATTTACAGATTGGGTTTCTAAGCCTGCCTTTCATAGAATCTGTGTGCCAAGGTTGGTTCAAATGCAGGTGAAGGGTTGTTTACTTGAAAACTTAAAAAAAACCCAAACCCAAACAAAAAACCCCAAACAAACCCAAAGCATTCCTTGCCCTTTCTCTTTGGGGAGTGTTGTGGGTTTGGGTATTTTTTTTCCTGTACCAGAAGGCAGCAACTTTAATGTGTTTCAGAGAGGTCTAGTCTGGCACTGCAACTTTCCTCCAAAATTCACGAACAAATCAAATTCTCTCCGTACAGGTTACAAAGCTTACTTGGGTAGGGGTTTGGGGTTTTTTCTTGTGACGATATTTTATTGACCTGTCACATTTTCTAGGAAACTGGGCAAAGTCTCAAGTGTACACGCTGTAAGCATCTGAAAATGAAGCCTTTTGGAGGTGTGAAGTTCCGGTGGCAAGTCTGGATTTGTCACTTAACCACAAGCATTCAATTACTGTTTGTATAAAAACTCCCTGTCTCATTTCACAAGAGTGAAATCACTTTCCTTTACTTTTACACATCTGAAGGCATGATTTAGTGTTGTTTTTTTTACTAGAAAGAAAAAACTAACCAGCTTTGAAGGTACTAACCAAGGCACTACCGTGGAAGTGATAACAAGACATGATTAAATTTCTTTAAAATGGTATAAAGTTGGCATTCAAGTTACACTCTGAAGTTTCTTGTTACTTAGGTCATAGAACACTAACACCTTAGACATGTTAAAAGCTGTAAGTCCATTACGATGTTAGGTTTTGGGGTTGGTCTGTTTGCTCTATTTTCATAGTGGTGTTGAGGAAGTGTAAGTTGCAAAGGGAACTGCATTTCTCCCCCCCCCCAAAAAACCCAAACCTGCCTAGGCTGAGAACAGCAGAGAAGAAAGCTTTTAAGATGACAGGTATAGCCTAGCATAGCTGTGGGATTTGTCAGTAAAAGAACATTGGCTAACACTTAGTCTCTTCTTCCATCCGGAACTGAGAGTAGTTTGTCACCTCAGTACCGCAGTGATGCCTGAAGCAAAGTCTGCAGGGTAGAGGCTGCTATGAATACAAACTGGTTTCTGTTCATTCTAATGCTTTACCTCCCACAGAAACCCAAATCCCTGTTAAACTCCAGGAGCATCAGTCTTGCAGACAGGCTACTGCTGCTCATCATAGGGAAACATGATCAGGTCTCCCTCAGGAACAAGAGCAATCGAGTCTCGCCTGCCTTCCCTTTTTAAAAAGCCTTTAGAATCCAGTATTTTCAGCATGACAAAAGAAAAATCTTACTGAGTTTAGGCAGGGTAGTGTTTTGAAATATTTGTACAGTCATTTCTCAACAGAAGAAATGAAAGCAAACCAAAACAAAATTCTTTAATAAGCACATGGGAGAATTTCTAGACAAGGAAAGGTCTAAGACTTGCTAACTGTTTAGTAATAGGCTACTATTAGAACACAATCAGTCTTAAGACAGACAAACAGAAGGTTAGCTTAAATGGACCTAAAAGGCATCGGAAAGGATGTTGGACACCTACGTGCTTGTTCCAAGACAAATTTATGGCTCTGCCACAGGTATGCCAGTTATTGAAAGGTGCTTAACCACTTTAAGCCATGTAGAGAAACAAGCTGCTTAGCCAGCAAAGTCTTCGGGGTTTATTCTGAAATTCAGCAGTTTTGGTCTCAGCTCAGTGTGCAAACATCAGTAATCTAAGTATAATTCTTTTCCACCTGTCTGCAAGGGGAGAGAGGGAAGATTCAAGCCCATAGGAAGTGAAAGGGGCATTCCTGGGAGGCAGCCAGAGCCATGGATGGTTTTTTGTCTATGGAAATAAAGGGACACTGTCTAAGCAGGTAGCTGTATAGAGGCCAACAGGACAGAGAGCAGGTAAAATATTCACTCTCTTCACTCTCAGCCATATTTATCATTCCCCTGTCTTTTTTTTTTTTTTTTGACAAATACCCAGTCATGCGAAAAAACAGATCAATATTGAATTTGAAGAAAGCTGGCTCACGTTCCAAGAACCACTTCAGCCTTTACTGGGCTGTGTTTCCCCGATACCTTAGTGCACCAGAAGCAGCAGAAATTCACATGCAAATCTACAGCTTTACATTCTTTCAAGTTGTTTTTCTTCACACTTTGGGGAAAAAAAAAGTTGATATACAACATTATTAGGGTTTTGGTTTTGTTGTTTTTATAAAATTTGTCAAGATATCACAAAATTACACACACTAAAAGCTTAATCTGCACATTTTCCAATGAAAAATTGAAAGGAAATATCTTAAATCTATTACTTGTATATACAATTTCAATCCAAATTTACATTTGCATCATTTTCTTGGATAGCAAAAGGCATGGATCAAACACAGGATTGAGATGTGTCACTTCAGCGTATTCATAGGATATTACTCTAAAATATTGGTATGCATTCATTTAAATTCACTTAGAACAGGCCACTTCTTACAAAAGGCTCAATTTTGTATTGAAATTGTATTAACTGTTGGGAAGGCCACTGCTAACATATACCCCTTTACAATGCAAACATTCGTAATTTGTTTCATTGAGATTCACAAGACAATGACTGAAGAATTAATGGACTTTTTATAACCTCTGAGATCTGATACAAGTTTAAAAGCCCATACGTGGCTGCGCAGTCAGTTAGGACACCTGCACAGATTAAGGCATTTGTGCTAGACGTAACTTTTTTAAAAAGTTAACTGAAGTCTTGTGCAGTTAGCTAACAAAAAGCTGATATTTTTCTCACCTACCCTCTCTTGGAAGAGAGAAGTTACCCACTCAGGTCTTTTTGAGTATTTAAAAAAAAAAAAAAAAAGAAGTTGTTAAGAAATTACAGGATATAAACATCCCTGTCTTTCAGCTGCAGAAATGGATTTGTATTTGAATAACTTAGGTTCAGTGAAATTGTATTAAGACCTGTTTGAAATTAATTAGGCTTCGCTAGCACAATTTAATTTAAGCAGAACTTCATTCAGATATTGCAAAATAAAGCAAAAAATAAAATTTACAAGGAATACTTTGTTTCCCTCCAAACTCATTTTTATTACATGAAATATGCCACTTTTAAAAATTATGCCTCTCCTGTGAGAGTACTTCATAATCATAAGAGAATTCAAATGAAGACACCTCTCAAGCCAAGAATAATTTGAATAGTTTGCTATTTTAACAACCTGCACAAACTGTAGATGCTGTATGTTAATTTAAGACACTATGAAATCAACATTTTCCCCTGTATTTTTCTGTTGCTTGAGTTATTAAGAACCAGTACTGAAGGAAATACCTGCAAAACTATCCCAGTTATGTCCACTCAAACTCCATACTTAATAAAATACCAACTATGGAGACCCTGAAAAAAATAGAAACTATGTCTTTAAATAGAATCCAGAAAAGCAGTTTCATATATAGCTGCACATTCTCGAGTGTGCTTTTGCACAACCATACTTTTTAATAGTTCGATTCAAGAGCAAACCAATCACATAAATCCTTCCTTTACATTTAAAATTCTACATATAACATCCTCTTTTTTGCTTTGGTAAAATACAAATAACGGGCAAGTCGGGGTAAAGAAAGCACAGTAAATAACATGGGTATGTCATACCTTTTTTTAAGAAATACGAGCTGAAATGTAAGGCATCCCCAAAGTATTTTTTGCATATACAAGGAATGCAGTTCTTTGTAAACAAAAGCTTGAGGAAAGCAATACTGAAGCCAAAGATTCTTCCCTAGGATCCTTCCGATGATCCCAAAACCAAAAGCAACTCTCCTAGGGTAAGTGTTTTGGAACTAAATCCTGTGAGAAAGAGAATCCAATCCTTTGTCTTCCCATACATTTTTAATCATGTATTAGATTGGCTCGCCTTGAAGATCTCCAAATTAAGAGTGATGTAAAAGTTGATTCTCAAGGGCACAAACTCATCTTAAGTCTATTTTTCTGGTATGTCACTTTCTATAGATTTTGTGGCAGCATTATTACGGCCTATGGACACTTGCACAACATTCCCACTGGTAACGTTCCCCTGTGCGTGGGACTGACAGACAGCCGTGGGTTTAGCGGCAAGAAGCGTTTTAGAAGAATTGGACTGATGTCTGCGATGACCGGAATCCTCACCTGTTGCAGCAACCGGTCTCTTTCTGCCAGATTCTTCACCAATAGGAGGCTGAAAATAAACATTGGCAACCTGTTAAACGTTTTTCTGTACAGCCAGGTATTTGCCTTTTCATATACTTATAGGATCAAAAAAGACAGAGCATTCCATATTAGGCCCTTAGTTAGGCCTAGTAATCTTAGTTACAACTCACTGATGATATTCTAAAGCTTTCCTGGCCGTTTAGCTAGAAGTGCAAGTACATGACATATTAAGGACTTGGAACAGTCTTACAGCATTATTTAATTGTCACTGCCCAAATGTTTGCCACAACTCCTACAAAATGGAGGATTATAGAGGACGATGGTAACGTAGCGCACCATAACCCAGTTATGAAAAGCACGGCAGCGCTATACTCTGGACTCACACAGTTTAGGAATTCAGCATTCGACAGGGAGGATACATTGAATTTGGCATGTAAAGTCTCAGCAAGGACAATGCCTGTCACAGTTCATTAAGAAATGCCAGTCAGCCATTAACTCATTTGCCAAATTCTTAAACGGTACAAAAGTCATCAGTCTTGTGAGTGACAAATACGCTATTTTTTGCTATTTATTTCATTACACAATGAAAATGGATCACCACCTTTTACATGTTAGCTACCACATCTCAGCACCATACTTTGGTTCAAAAAAGAACGTGTAGCATAAAACTGCATTTTTCATTTGAATTTAATTTTTTTTAATCATGCTTTTTCTAGTCATTGACAGGATTTGTAAAGCTGCCTTTTTGTGAAATGAAGTACTGTTCTCAGTTTACCTTGCAGGAAAAATACTCGTACACCAAGTATCTATTTAAAATAGGTATTAAAACTCACATCCACTCTGAAGTCCTCCAGTCTCTTAAATTTACTAAGGTATTCTTGCAGTTTGGGGTCAATGGTTGGAGTCTTGTGCTGAGAGTATTTTAGATAAGCCCAAAATTTTTCCAGTCCATATAGCTGACCTAATAATGGAAAAAGAGAATTTTACCAATTTACAAAAGTCAAATTTAATTAAAAACTTAAATTATTCACTGGTAACTACATGGTTAAGAGAACTGCAAGATAAAAGGAACATGAACAAAAGCTGCTCTTGGGTTAGTTAACAAGTCAGTGCCAAGGAACTGGGATTAATCTCCCAACTAAAGTTACCCTGGTGTGAGCAGGGACTGGCCTATGATAATTACCAGCTTCATAGTCTCTCTTTGTTTCTTCTTGGAAATCCTTGAATATTTCTTCCCTGAATTTCTTTTCTAGGCCATAGCTGTAAAATCGAAACAAGCATTCCAATCCATACCTGTAACAGAACAAAGAGGTACAAAAATCTTATACATACACTCCTCATTCCTCAGAAGAATGCAAGCTTTCAGTCTCTCCTTGCATCTAAGTAAATGGCAGTCTCATTTTACCCTTCTTGTAAAAAAACACTTCCTTTTTACATCAGTTTTTATTGATGTGTTGTTCTGAAACATCTTCACAAATAATCAACACTGACTTAGGAAAATCAGGTTTGTCCCACAGCTTCGACTTACAAACTACAGACACTACACACACGTACAAAATGAAGACAAATGCTTTCACCTTTTCAGTACATTTGTATACACAAACAGTTTCAACATAAAACCAACCATAGTGGGTCGGACCAAAAGTCAGCCGAACCCACCACCAGTGCAAAACCCTATGTGTAGGGCAGGACTCGGTGTCCTTTCAGCTCCCACACACCTCAGCGCCAGGGTTTCTGGCTGTGTTTAAGTAACACTCTGGCTTTGCCTGCAGCACTGTCACCAGAGCTGCCTTGGGCCTCTAGATAGCCGGGACCTCCTCCTGTCCCGCATCCACCTCCTGCCACCTTAGTCCCTTTAAGAGCCTTCTGAAGTTTCTCCTGGTAAATGTATCCTTGGATAATCAGAGCATCAAAAAAGCTCAGAGCAGAGACACAAGGTATTATTAAAGCCACCTTTGCACCCTATGAACTATCGCTCCACTGTCTCAGACAACACATCAGAACTTGAGGATTTCCATAGCCAGTACTTCCTCATTTGGCATTCAAAACATCGGGCTACCTTGTCTCTTTGGCTAAGGGAAACAGAGGTAGGGGGAACTGGGTGAAGGGAAGGGAATAATATCAAAGAGCTAGAGGGGCAGTGGTAATTTCCTTTGCAGTCATTTTTCTGGTACTTTTGAGAGGCAAGAAGCAGTCTGAACAAGTTGAACGAGGTTAAGGATGTCTTCACCTAAGGAAGAAAGAATCTTATGGGTGTTAGTAAGTATAGAGCTGCCTTGTCTCGGTCAACAAGTTACAGGATTTTGTAGAATTTGGGACCAATTACAAATCGGGAAATGCTGCACCTTTAGCTATACATCTGCAAAGCACAAATATATGCAAACAGATTTTTGGTATTAAAATAACTTAGACTGCTATTTTAAAGATTTACAAAGAGTCAAAGCCGATACTAAAAATGTTCACAGCAGATATGTGTGAACGTCACAGTCGTTAAAACAAATGGTAAGACCTCAACAGTTTTTAACTTCCAGGAAAAAGTGAATACCTGTAGTGTTCTTTTGCATCCTCTAGAGCAAGTTGTTTGAATTCTTCATACATTTTCTTGTTAAAGTGATCTCTCAGAAAAAAGGACCAGAAACGAAAAAGTGTGTTCATTTCTTGGGACTGGCCAATTCCCAACCGTTTCCTCTCTGGAAGAAAAAAGAAAGGGTTAAAAAAAAAAAGCAAGCTCTTTTTCATTTTTCAGCAGCATATTTTCAAGTGCTTTTCCATTAGTAATACATACACACAAGGTCTTCCAGTAACTAAAGTTTAAATTTGAGGGTAATTTTTTTGTCAGGGAATGTAAAATTAAATGGAAAGCAGAGTTCATAAAATAGAAGCATCGAATAAATTTTGCTTTCCTTTCCCAAGAAAAATTAAGGATGAGGAACAACGTGGAGAAAACTGGTATCAGATGACATGTGGTAACTTCTACCTAAAATTTTAGGAAGCGCATTTAACAACTTACCCATTAGACACCTTCGACGGTATTTGTGGTACACCTGCTGAGTAAAGCCATTTTCCTTTAACAGTTCATGAGAAGGATGCTGAAATTTTGGAAGAGAATTTGGGGTACACCCGTAACTTCCTGTTAGTGGAGCTCCTTCTGAAGGCGAAGCATTGGAACTGCTGAAGAAAAAACAAACATATTTCTGTCCTATAAACAGTGCTCTTCTACAGAATCAGTTTTCAACCATTCTAATCTACATAAGAGCTGTCAGAATAGTACAGTCACCTGATGACCACTACAATGCATGCCTGGGGTCCCAGTCATTTGTTTTCAGGTGCACCTCAAGAAAATCAGACTCTCTGCTAATATGTCAAGAAACAGGCAGTTTTGGATGATAATAATTAAACATTACCATAATGCATGATTTTAAATGACCACTTAAAGGCAAAATCACTGAAGTGAACATCAGTACTTCAAGTAGTATTACCACCAATATATCATGGATCAAAAAATGACATTGTGAACATAGTCAGTTAGCTAGTTTACTTCTGAATAGCCTTGTATTCTATGTTTTTGTCTTTCTTGGTCGCTCTTTTCTTGCTTCCACTGTATTTATAAAGTTGTCTTTTACTGCAGCCTATTTCTCCATTAGCAGTGAGAACTAATGACATTGCAAACAAGTTTTCTATAAAAAAAAGAAAAATTTACCTCACAGAAGAAGTTCTTGGTCTGTGGTCTCTGGAATCCATCACCCAACCAACGTGGCATTCTAAGGGAGGATTTGTACTGTGTCGTGTTTTTCTTTTTCTGGGAGTCTAAGAAAGTAAACGAAGGATTTATTTCCATAATTTGATTTCACTCATTTGCTCCCTCTTAAAAGAAAATTCTAAAAATTTTATATTCTATCTGACACATTATAAAGTCACAACATTCCAGTTTCATAACCTAAAAACTGGTCTTATGTAACAAATTAAAAATCTTTAGACATTACACTTTTTCAGCAAGGACTTTTAAGAAATGTTACAAAGAAAACTCAGAAACCATTTTGTATAACTAAAAAAGAATTAATATGGTAAATATTTTGAAGATAAACACAGTACAAGCGTTTCATTTTTTGCCTTTTCATGCTTGTTAAATCATATGCACAGACATGAGTTTTATAGGCTTTTCCTGTTTTTAAAAAAAATATTACGTCTTTCCATTTACCTTTACGTCAATGGATCGTGCCTCTTTAACGACAGGGTAGAACCTGGGTGTTTTGTTGGGATCCTGTAGCCTCGGGGTGCGAGGTGTTCGTGGGGTGAAGCCAGGGTGAACGCAGGGGGAATCTGGAACTGCTGTTGGCAGCGATCGAGCTATTGCTGCTGTCGGAGGTACTTCAGTACTTAACAAATTACAAGCCAGCTCCTCTGCTAAACCTGTAGGCAGGAAGGAGAAAACATTCATTTTCAAAAGAGACTTAGGATTTCAAAGCCTAAGCTCCCCTAGTATCTAGTATCTTAAAGGCCTGTTTCATTTCAAGTAAACTACATCCCCAAAGGATAACCAAATTAACAGAAGCACTTGGCGTAGAAGCAGTACAAACTGCTCAAAACTATGAAATAATGTTTCAAGCATGTCTTTGCTAGAAAATTTAAACCCACTTCTTTCTTACCTGCTTGCTCTTATCTATCTACACTAGCAAAGTAATGGAAAAACATTGGTGAAAGCGTAACCACGTTCTTGCTTTTTGGTGAGGTGGTGGGTTTAGTGAGGTGGTTTTCTTCAACTACTGTAAAGGCGCTATTAGCATGTATCCTAATGAATGTTAATAATACTACTGTAATCAGAAACATCTCAAAAGATAAGATTTGGACATTGTGACTGCTCAGAAAGGTTATGATATAAGTAGAAAATTCTTCTAGTCTCACTTCATTCTATCCCTATTTCCTGTAAAAATACTGGTTTCTAGAAAATGTTTCACATCACCACTAGCTATTACTTTACACATTGTAAATGACAAGTTACGCAAAAAGCACCTGGTGTTGGTATATGGTGACAAGAAAATGGAACACTGTCTTTTGATGCTCATATGTATCCTGAAAAGTGCTAGTACCAGCTTCTTCTAATTCAATGGAAACCACGTTCCTGATGAACAGTTGGCAATTTGAAAAAGAAAAAGCCCTTCAGACTGCTGACCGAACCAAAATTAAAATATTACATAGGCAGAAAGAGTTAAAACACCTACAGAATTGTTCTTTATTACAGAAATTCTAAAACCAAATATGTATTACTTAACTTTCTGTAACCCTGGAGGTCCTGGAGGAACTTCTTGGGCTAGATCAGCAATTGGTTCTGGTGCAAGATTATCAAATTCTTCCTTGCTAATGAGATTTAGCTTCTTAAAGTTCTCAATCTCTTGCTGAATTAGAGAAAGCAAATTGTAAATGCAAAAAGCATGATAATGTATATCACCCTGAGAAACAGGTGAATGTCATAAAAGAGAAAATAAGCAAGCCAGAATTGACACACAACTACCCATACTCAGCCAGTACAGATTTCTTTTAAGGAAGATGGAAGGAGTCTCTAGCACACGTTGTAAAAAACAACGTGTGCCGTGAACACTGTATGAAACCTAATGCAGCTCACACTGCACTAGCTAAAAGAGACAGTTATGCCAACAAACGGACCAATGGAGGCAAGCAAGGCCATCTACAAGCAAATTTTCATAGACAAATAAGAAATAGAAATGACCAAGATCCTGCCCCTTGCCCAGCCCAAAACCATCCTTCTCCTGCAGTAAGCGTGCCAAGGAAGGTCCTAGCAATTTTGGGGAGCAGAAGAGGCTGTGCTCCCTTCCTCAGGCTACACCTAAAGAAAAGCCAGTATTTGTAAATAAAGTGTTCAGCTTTTTGGTTTTTTGTGGGGTTTTTTTGTTTGTTTGTTTTTTAATCGGTAGCATAAACTGCAGAAGGACACGATTTCCCAAGATGTATGGCAGCATCTCAAATTACTCATGCCCCTACTCAACTGAAGGTGGGGTGGGACATGTGCATGTGTGCATGCTGTGTGTGAAAAATCTTGGTTAAATTATTGTCAGGAATGTAACAACAACAAAGAAAATATTTAAATATTTTCTCTTGCTGTGTGCTATTTCTCACTGTCCTCTTCCAGTTTGGTGGTTTTCTCGGTCCATTTCCTTTGTAATAAAAGCTCCATATGCCAAATTCTACCTTTATTTCTTGCTCTTATTCTCAGCATTCATTTCTATTTTTGTCAGCACTTTTTTGTACCCACATTTTGTGCTTTAAGCTGCTTTCCCCCTTTCCACCCACCCCACAACCCACCTTTGTCCTTACGCACAGATAAAGCTCCTTCCCCTCACCACTTAGCGTTTAGGTAACTTCGTATTCCTGTACACATAATATCTGCTAGTGATACAGCAGGATTGCCTACAGACATGGCACTCACCAGGCTTGCTCGCACAAAAGAAAGGGTTTCTTAAACCAAGAGCAGCAAGTGACAGGACTGCAGCGTGCCATGTCGGCCTCTGCCTATACAGTGCTGGAGTTCAACTCATCTGCAATTTTACAGCTTATTATATTTTAAAAACTAGTAATTTAAAAAAAAAATTAGAAGATCACAAAGCTGACAATCTCCTTGTAAAGTTTTGAAAGCCTCAAAGACAGGGGCCCACGTACAGGCTAGGAAATAAAATGGTTTCTATATAAGTAAGGCATGCAATCCAAAGTTTCATTTGCTCACATTGCTATCATTCTAACAAGCTGCAAGGCAAACAGAACCTTAATATAAAACTACTTTAAAATGACTGTATTACCTTCCTCTCTTACTATGTCATCTCAGAAATGTGCCCCCTTCCCCTCTGGTAGGGGTTTGCAAATGTTTTGAAACAAGTTATTCATAGAACAAGAAAACACTGGAAAAGCTGAATCATCTCCTAAACATTAAAAATAGTTCTAAAAAATATTCATTCAATGTTTTTGGTCAAATTTGTGACAAGAAAAACTTGCTGGTTTTGCTTTCAACTGTTTACAATATTATCAAAATAAAGATAATTCAGTAGACCTGTAAAGCCAACTACTGTCACTTTTCTTTCAAAAAAGCGTAGCATTTTACAATTACATAGCAGATGGCTGAAATTAATTTTGGAACTGTTTGGACAGGCATGGTTTTCAGGTCAAAAATGAAGAGAGTTACCTTCATCATAGTGTCATTTTCACTCTGCTCCATCCACAAATCCTGTTCATAATAGTATAAGCCATCATTAATAACTTTGGCAAGTTCTGATGTAATTTTTGCACGGCATACATGGTTGCCAGTACGATCTCCACTAAGATGTTTTCTCATATACGGTGGTGTCTGTGTTACAATCAAAATCTTGTTTACGTCCTGATCATCAATTTCATAATCGGAATCGCTGTCTGACCAATCAGTAAATTTATTCTTCCGACCTTGAATTTGTTCCATCTCTTCATCAAACAAAAAATCAAGTTCCTCTTGTTCTTGTTCCTCTGGAGGCGGGGGTGGCTGTTGTGGATCTGATGTTTGATCAGGTATAGGAACACTTTCCTAAGTTGGAAAAGGTGATGCATTTTATATTTGAAAGGGATAGAGATTATTCAAATGGGAGACAAATAGAACATGATAGAACACTTTAAATAAAGAAATGTACGGGAATTAGAAACAATACAGCCACTTTCAGGTGCTTATTCAGTAAATTACTATTCTAAATAATTCTGCCATAACCTTTTAGAACAATTCTCAATGCACATTACAATGTATTTTTCAATAATCAACAGGTACAACTGTCCCTCAGCAGAAAAAAAAAAAACCAACAAAAAAAACCAAACCAACAAACCAGCAGTATTTCCTTTCCATTTTAGTGAGCTTTGGATCAGGATTTTAAATGCACTTAGTTATTCTAAGTCTGGTAGAGTGAGAAGTACACGCATTAACTATATTGCGTTATCAAGCATCACATATGTTAACACATAAAAAAATCTTGTTTTACAGTATAATCTGAAGGTTGGCAGGTTTTGCATTTGTTTATTTAAATAACTTAAAGGTTTTTGATTTTACCTTTAGTTTGACCGTGGATGCACGATGCCTCTTCTTCACTTCTATCCAAGGTTCAGAGTCCAAATCAGGCAAACTTGTAGACAATCCTTTAGACATTGTCTGAAAATTATTCATTTCCGTGTTTTCCTTTGGACTCAGTGGGCTTCCCACTCTTGGAGAACTTGGTGCAGACTCTAGCAGTGGAAAACAGTAGTTCAGTTCCTGTTGTGGGTTGTTTTGGTTTTGGTTTGTTGTTGGTTTTGTTTTGTTTTTTAAATTGTTTCACTAGTCTTTCTTTTAACCACAGCTACCATTTTTCCACCTCTCTGGTTAAATATAACACTGAGCAGCAGAATTTCTTTTCATTTTTAGGAGACAGCTTTTCACAGCTCACTCAACATTTTAGGAAAAGTTCAATTCTAGCAACTTATTTACGTGGAAAGTTTCTAACAGTCTGAGAGAAATTATGTTTTATTCAGAAAACAAGAGCAGCATCATTAGGGACATGTTTTCTCCACACCATCCTCTAGCTCTATGGATGGGTGCCTAAGTTAGTCTTTATTCTTCCCATCCAATTCCAGCCAACGTTTTAGTAAAAGATTTCCTTGCCAAGGATTGTCAGCGAATAAAGCCATCTCCCTATTAATAATGTGGATGAGATCACCATCCAAAACCAGGATGCACCAAATAAAGAGTTAACTTTCAGCTGCTACCAAAATGAAGCAGATTTTATGACTAATTGAAGATTACTATTACTACTTCTACTACCAGTACTAAAGGACTGTAGTCCATCATACTGTATTCTGGATAATGGTCACAGCAGTTAACACATAAGAGACATTTTTATCTACTTCACATCAGCCATGCCAGCCATGTGACTTGGCAACTGCAAGGCTGACGGGCATGCCAGCTGAATAAACTGTTACTGACTGTACAACTTCTGTTATGAAATCAGTATCAAGAGGCAAACTTCCTAAGCTAGATAGACAGTCCTAAACTTATGTTTCTATAAAATAAATCCTTTACCAGTATGTGAGCCAAAAATTTGGCCTGGTATGAATTCTGGACAATTGATGAGCTGAGAAAAGTCAGTCGGTGGCAGACTGCAAGGAGGAGGACCTGGAATTGGCCACTTTTCTGGATCAACCCTTTTTCTTATCCGCTGATCCACAGTTTCAACTTCTGTACTGTCCTTTAGGGCCTGTGTGACAAGCATATTAAAACTTTACGTATCCAGCACCATCAAAAAAAAAAAAAAAGAAAGAAAGAGAAAACAAACCCCAAACACAAACTTTGCCATTTATAGCCTCTTTATAAAATCCTTGTCAGTGCAAACAGAAATATTCCTTAACTTCATAGCACTGACTTTAAATGGCAGTAGAAAAATCAAAGCAGCAACTTTCTACATACATAACTTGTGAATTATTTTACCTCCAAAATGAGTGCAGCATTTGTAGTGAGAGCTTGCATCCGACGGAAGCTAGCAATCAATGAAACAGGCAGAAATCCTTGTTGGTCCATCTTTCTCCTCAGAAAGAAGTCTCTTTCCAAATTTTCTGTGCTGAAATAATACTCACTGCAGAAAAACATACAAATATGAGCCTATTATAGGTTAAAGAAAATCCTAAAATAGCAACTTAGAGACTCCTTGTTAAAGTCTTCCATTAAAAACAGAGCATACTTTGGCATCAACAAAATCGTTCTTTCAACAGGTGTATCATTATAAGCAAGACTTACAGAACAGCATGCATACTCAACATGTTAAGAAAGACTTATGATCCAGTACAGTACAGAGGGGTATAAATCAAAGCCTTGTTCCATTTGTGCATATGAACTGCATAAGGAAAAACTATGCTCGATTTTTCTTTCACCCATCCCCTCCCTTATTACTTACATGAACAGAAGGAAACAACATTCTCTTAGCCTCCATATAGATGAAGGACAACTACTGCTTACAGTCAGGGCATAAGTTATTTCCCACACAGCAGTATCAGTGCACCTTCATCCTGAACTGTATCTTTTCTTTTCTTTTGCCAGTTTCCAGTACATTAGAAGGTTTAAGTATCCTATCTGAGTGTTGAGGCACATACATGTACTCTGAATCATTACTTCAAGCATGCTTGTGGGAAGATGAGAAAACAAAAATAGTAATGTTGTATTTGTCATGAAACTGTACCAAAAGGCACAACAGTTCGCAGAGAAAGGTAAAGTCTAGAAGAAGAGATGATGTTTAGTGGATAAAGAGAAGAGGGACAAGGACCATTTCAGCAATCTGACAATGCCACAGAACAAGAGAGATGAGGCACAAAGAAATAGTAGAAAGACAAATCTTCTTAAAACAATGAAGCTGCTCTATGAAATGATCAGGGTGTCAAGATGTCTTATACTTCGCGAAGAGAAAAAGTAAGGAATTCATGATCTGTCACACAAAGCAAGGGAGTGAGAAAACATCCTATGAAAAAGTGGGAAAAAACCAATTTAATCATGATGACTAAAATCTAGGCCTTTCACAGAGTTTACACATCGTACCATGATTTTGCATATTAGATCCAAGGAATACTACTCCTCATCAGGTTCAGGAAAACGTAGATAGTGAAATATTTAATGGAGAGCAATTAAAATTCTATGACACAAAAATAGAGATAGTGCAAAAATAAAACGAGAGCATTAAAACGCTGAGGGGAAAAAAAAAACACCAAAAACCGCACATGCAAATGTAAATAAAGTTAATTCTAATTTCAACAAAGTATAAAATGCTAAGTGTCTCCACTGAAGTTGGGATCAAGGCCAAAGTTACCAAGAGGAGAGGACTCTGATGCCATCATTGACCCAAGGAGAAGCTTGATACCATTTCCTCCTCTAATTTTTTGGTAGCTAAAGAAATTCAAAGCAAAAGCTCTCTATATGAAACACTCAGCTCCAAGACAGAATGAATATAAAGTCTCAAAGTTGGACAGTAAGACATACGACAAATGAAAACACTGCCATTAAATCACAGCAGAGAAGAGAATAAGGCTTTCGGAGAATTAAGCTCTTGCTCAGAGCTACGTAAACTGATCAGTGAAGTAACTGTGCACAAAGAGAAGGTTCTTTCAAGAATATCCTATTTACTGTTCTGAACTACTACACTTCTTTTCCCCTCCCAATCTATAAGATAAGCAAGCACAAAAGCCATTTTACTAATGTTACCTTTACAGTCATACAGTAAAGGTAAAATCTTGTAACGATTCACCTAGTTAAAAATTCCACAAGCAGAAATGGACAATGACTGAACTTGACTCAAACTGCCTCACTTGATGTCCATCACTCTAGAAAAAGGAATGTGAAAGACCATTAATGATAAATGAAGACAACGCACAAGTTTGCTCCAACTAGAGGGACAAACCTAAACACACATGCACCCCCTCCAGCTTTTTCTTTTTCATTTTCCTCAGAGTCCCTTTGATATTCTTGAATTGATGCAGACTTGGATGCATGTCTGAACTTTTCTTTCTTTCTTTCTTTTTTAAAGAAAGAGGACTTTACATAGAGTTCTACTGTGTGTTGCAGACTGAGGAGTTACTAAGCACTGAAACTTTTCAGGCTGACAACTTCAGCCTGTAATTAAAAACATTAAAGATGCTTTTGTATGCAATACAAATATTACTCTCTCTTGTACATCAAGCTGGTTCTTGGGACAAGCGTAAGCTGCTTGATAGCAGTGTATTTCTTTCTGTAATTACATATCAACTCAGTTGGACACAGTCCCTAAGATTTTTCCCTATTAAGCAGGTAAACTGTTTTAAAATTCATCAATTCACTGGGATTCAAACTAACCTCACTTCTCTAATATATCCTGATTTATCTTGGACTCCATAAGGAACTCTGAGACCTAACAGTTCTGTGTAGCTTTATTCTTTACGTACTTCCTTTTTGGCATAGTCACTTTAATATTTTGTAACTAAATTATGAAAGGCAGACAAAACCATCCCCATTTAGAAGCTAATAATAGGTAATTGATGAATAAAGTCTGTTTCCCATCATTTTTGATGTGATAAAAGAAGTGAATAGATAACAAAACCATCTTTTTTTTTTTTTTTAAAGGAGCATAAAAATAGTGAAGTTGTGTTCTAAACCTGCTCAAGAATCTCCCTCTCTCATGGAAAGCAAACTCCATAATCAAACTGCCTTAGGAGTTTATTTCAGACAAGCAACCAATGGCTCTGGTTAGCCAGCCATGCCAAGTCTTCTATTGATACCTGCCAACCTCTTGTTGCTAAAATAAAATACAAATACAACCAGAAGTCAGATGTGACCAATGCTGTAACTGACATTTTTCTCAGCAGAAGGGGACATCATCATGTCCTACCTTAGAAGGTCTGGATTCTACACTGCATGCCCAGAAATCTGGCCAACAGTGGAGTGTCTGTGCTCCTCCCTCACTTGTCTGAGGACAGTGCAGGCCGATTATCCTGACATGGGGGTACATGTCCACTGTCAGGTCTCATAGGGGCCTGGCAGCAAAAGTAACAATAAAGACTGCAATAGAAGTTTTGAAGTTGATAGCCACATGCCAGATACTTTCTGCCCTTAAAGAGGCTTTTTTCTTCCTTTTTGCGTCAACTGTAACAAAAGAAGCAAGAATAAAATAAGCAAGTTGCTTTATGGAATACAAGGGCAATCAAAAACCACCACAAAGGCATCGCAGAGAAATGCCGTTGCAAGTACAGAAGATGAAATATCTGCCAGTGGTGGAAACTGTCTCTTTAAAATGAACTAGTGGTTTCCAGGCCCTTTTTGACTTGTCTCCTGGTGATAATCAGTCTTCCAGATGGTTTCTCATTGCCTAATGGTGTACATGAGAAAGTAAACATTTCAGATTATTGAAAAATCAAGTATCATTGCAAAACTACTCTCTTTCAGTTAAATGTTTCAGGTGAAACACTCTGAAAACATAAAACTAACAAGACTTCTCAAAGTGAAACTGAGAGCAAATAAGGGAAACGTCTAGCTACATCACCCAAGAAGAGCTTTATAGGCAAACAGACCAACAGTACTCAAAAGCACAAGCTCAGAGACATCCATATCTCAGTTACATGACAACATAAAAAGAAGTCTATGTACCATAAATAAAGCAGGTATACGAGTTAGAGCCAGACTACAGCACAAGATGCAGAACAGCTTCCTTAAAATTCCTCCCCATCACTCAAGTTCTTCCACCCCACTAGTGAATAAATTCAAACTTTCACCAGTAATGGTCAAATCAATAAGTTCAATTGAAACGCCTTAATCTCCATCTTTATATGGATAATAAGGATTAAACACTGTTTGAAATGAGTTATTTTATCTGAACTAGATCTCTAAAAATATTTGTACATTAAACAATCTACTTACATTTGATGTTTTATATATTCTTTGAGAAGTGCTTCATCCACAGAATACATCTGCACTCCTGTTCCATCACCATAGTAATACATCACACTAGCATTAAGCTCAGGTTGAAATACTTGGTCAGTTCCTTCCCCATACAGTTCTTGATAACCAACTGAATATTCAAAGTTCACTTCAAAATAAAAGAGAACATAATATTTTTTCATTGTCTTTCTTTTAAGTCCAGCACACAAATATTTTAAGGCGTGATAAACACTGCTATTTTACTGTTGGTTTTCAGCATCTGATTTTAAAAAGACTCAAGCTACTTAATTATATTAAGCTACAGGGTATGTTTTTTGAGACAACTCTTACTTCGTGTGCAAACAATAACATTATAAACATAGTTTTAAAATTTTTGCTAAGCATCTACTACTTTGCATACTTCTAGGGTTTCCTCTGCCTCGTCCTCTTCCTCTGCCTCTACCTCTTCCTCTGCCTCTGGAGGATCCTCGAACACTGCCACCCTCACTTCTCACGCTGCACACTTCATCATGATCATCTCTCTTTTCTCTATCACGACGCCAATCTTTAAGAGAAAAAAGCATAATACTTGCAATCATAATTAAATAACACAGTATAATTAAGTAGTCTCCGATTTATTCCTAGGTATTAACCACAAAACATTGCACTGAAAAGCGTGTCTCTCCATTTTCTGGATGCTCAGAATGGCTGAAGGAAATGACTCTGCAGGATAGACGATTAGCACCAAAAAGTCCCTCGTAACACAGAGTTCTCAGCTCGCGCCCAGGCAATCCACAGACTCAGTCACGCCGGCTGAAGCTGAAGGTCAGATCTGAAAGCTGCTAGGGCGAAAAGGTAAGGTTTGCCCAGCCAGGCCTAAGGCGAGTCAGACAGAAGCTGTTAGCAATAAAGTAAATGGCCTTGACTGGCAGTCAATCTCAAATGCTTCTGTAGTAACTGGACACTCTGGTGCCAGCTCAGGGATCACAATACCTATGATCAGCTTGGGTCAGGAAGGCATAATCATGCAGTTCTTCTAGGCATGATAATACGGTCTCCTCCTGTGGACAACACCCATACCTAGAGAGAGCTAGGAAGAGCTGCTAGCTCTTGACAATCCTGCTCTGGGCAGGATTTCCACAGCCATGGCTCCCCGGAGCCTCCCTCTTGTTCCCTCCCAGAAGCCGCCATCTACCACTTCCCTGACTCCACCCATTTAACAGCAATCATTTATTCTCTGCTGGTCCTGCCCCAAACTGAGCTTTTAAGTTAAGAACCCCTTTTTGATAACAGATGCAAATCTAAGATGACCGTAAGAATCTATGTAAGGTTTTCACATAAATATGTGGTCTGCACATAGCAAAAGAGAGTGAGAGAGAAGCAAAAGAAAAGAAGAAAGGAAGGAAGGAAAGAAAGCAGGTCCAAACCAGACCCCAGGCACCTTGGCTCCGCTCACCAAAAAACTTAAGGACAGGTGTAATTCTCACTTTACTCATGAGAGAAAATGAACCCCTCTCTCACCCACAGTCTCTCATCCCATTTGTTTCTCTTTTCCTGACACTCTCAGAGACTTCTGTCTTCAGTCAGTCACCCTTGCTTAAAGTTTAAGTTGTAATTGGATAGTCTTCCAGATCCCAGGGGACCTCTTTGTCAGAGGAATGCCTGGGAACACAGACTCCGATCAAATTAAGAGTTGCTAAATTTAACACAGGACTGACTAAAGACATGATTTTGTTCGTATTAGAAATCCTGTTTTACTAGCAACTATTTTTAATGAACCCTACAGCAAAATACATATGCTCATACATTCAGGTTCCTGTATTTCACTTCCTGTCAAATAAGACTCTGAATTTTAGAATATCATAATCTGTATACGTGTCTCACTGGGAATTTGGACCTTAGCCTTCACACTTGCTACCCTCAACCTTAGAGATCCCAAATGCTTAGGCGTTATTTGAACTACTTCCCCAAATCAGTTTCATTTTTGCACTCTGAGAGCACACGTGGCCCAGACACATGCAAAAGTCCTACATATAACACCTTCATGAGCAAGTGTATTTAAGACTGAAACAAGTTTTTTTATTTAAACAGCCAATGCTCCTGAAGAGCAGGAGATGCCTTATGTTCTCTCACACTGAAACTGGTCTTGAATCATTACAGCCTTGAGGGAGAGCTCATGCTACAAGTTTCTGGTCATTTGACCATCAGGTTTCTGAGAAATAACTGCTGAAGAAAGTGATACACTAATAAAAATCCTCCCCCTGCCCCTGTTCATCCCTCAGACATTCAGATCACACCCTTATATCAATATTCCTAAACAAATCCCATCTCAGTAGCATCCAGCACTTATTATAACAAGCAAACATTTAAATTGTTAATGTATATCGCAGTTTTAAAACTTAAATGCAAATACACAAAGAGTTACATTCAGCCTAAGATTTCTGCCATCAGACAAGCTGTATTCAGAACACCTGAGGACCAGAAACAGTACCAGATGTGGTGCATTTCTCCCTCGGTTGTGCTAGTACAACTTTTTGCATGGCCATGCTGAGAAATAGGTTAGGAAACTGAGGGAATTGGTCCAACTTAAAGGAAAAAACAACGTTGGTAGAACTGCCAAAGCAGAGTTCAAAGTGTAGGTCCACAAGCAATTGCTCTGGTAGCAACAAGCTGCAGGAACAGCAGTAAAGCAGGACAAAGCAGCCCCCTTATGAGACTATTCCCAAACCTTCTGCATCATAAAGCTGTGGCCCAAGACTCTGCAGGAAGCCATGAAGAGAAAAATATATGCTGCTCTGATTCAGAGCACAAGCACACGCTGCAAAGATAGACTGTTTCCAAACTCAGTTACTCAGCAGAGTCAGTGATTGAGACATTACAACTCTGATCAATTTGTGAAGAGGTTAAAAAAAAATATCTGACAGTAAGCTTTTAAACAAAACTTTCCAATTTAAAACTTGTTAAACTACAGTACAATTTATTTTTTTTTTGCTGGTTATTGGCAAATAGTAACACTAGGTTTTACTTACCATAGCCAAGGTCAAGTTTCAACATAAACCGCCAATCTAATGGCCTACTCACGTGGTATTATACTTTATTTGCCACAAGTAGGAAGACCCAGAGATTGAAAACTACTTACTTCTTGTCTCATTCCGTCTGTTGTTATGAGGTATTAACTTGTTTGTTTCCAGCAGAAATCTTGAGCTAGTTCGAGAGCCTGGTCTTTCTTGACTGTCTGACCGTACATCATCCAGGTGAAGTGGCACCCATTTCTGCTTGTTGCCTTGAAAAGTTAACGTATTACTCTTAATTGTAATACTACTTGAGGTTTCAGCTCCTGAAAAGATTCTACAGAATTCTTCTTGTAGAGCTAGTAACAGTTAATTTCAAAGTTTAAAAACTGGGAGAAACTTTAACGTGGAAATTTTAAGATATGATGAATGACTAAACAATAATCAATGCAGTAAAAAGGAATTTCTCAGACTGAAAGGTAACCTTACCTAAGCTTTAAATATATGAAAAGAAGTTGAGCTTTTTTTATGTAACAGATTTTTAGATGTAAGCTCCATTACAAAGAATTTATAGCTACATAAGTGTTAAATTTATACAGTAAAATCATTACTATATAATTTCACAACTTGCATATGAAACTTAAAGATAAAAATAACATATCAGGTTAACCGCTAAAATAAAGATTTCAATCACAAACAGTAAAAATTTTCCTGAGAATTTAGCTGTGGTACTGTATTTTTACCTTGAGATACTCGGATTAAGTTCATTTGAGGGCATCAAAAATTATTGGCAAAGCTGTACTTTGTTGTAGGCTGGCCTAAAATATCCACTAACTACTTATTTAATGACAGTATTTGCTGTTCTATACTCGATTGGTATTGTGGACTTCATACCTTTGTAGCCAAGAAACATAAGCAAAGACAAAAAATGTGTTATCCACACTGTGGGGGAAAAATATAGCTTGCACCTGTAGAATGCTTTGCTTTAAACTTCCACTTAGACTGAAAAAATTAAAAGCAATAAAGGATATATTTTTTTAAAATATACATAGGAAGATTAACAAATCTAAACAACAAAGTCTTTAGGATCTGAAGAAATATCAGCAGGGAAGCAAGAAAAAAAACCAGTTGATGGCAGCAATATCTTAAAACTCTCTCAGCTGTTTCTCCAGCCTAGTCAAGTCTAATGACCAAATGAGATACAGGTTTGTTTCTTACTTTTAACGTAACAGATTGGATCAAAAAGAAATTAATAACCTGGTTTAGTTTTCAAGTGTTCACTTCAAAGTGTAAGCTAATAGTAAAACATGAAAATTAAAACGTTAGTATATATAGTAATACATACACATATATATATGAAGTTAAATTAACATAGCACTATCTAGTTAATGAAATAAAGATGCCAGAGACAGTAATTGTTTGTACAGCCACGCTAAAATTTTCCAGAAACTGTCAGAGCTCCACAGACCATCAGTAGGACACAAGCTGCTTTTTTCCCAGAATTCCTGTTTGACTAAACAGAACACTCCAAAACCTGAGAAAAGAAGCCTGTTTTAAGCTTCCTACCAGAAAGCAATATATTCTGTTATCACCTAGAAAATGCAAAACAAAAAGTTTCATCAAGTCATTCAACTGGATTTAACGTAACTGTATCAATGGTGACTTACTGCATTACACAGTGCTCAGACTGACCTTTTTTCCTTTGGTTATTAGTGTGAGCTTCATCTTCGCTAATATTATCTCCTGGACCATCTGGCTTTGCCTCTGGGTTGTCCTTGATTCCGTTATTGCTTTTTTGATCAGATTTCTCCTCCTTTTCTCTTTTATTTGTTGGCTTCTTACTGTGACTTACAGTCTTACACTGCAAGAGATACTGGTAATTATTTCTGACAGTACAGTTGCTGATAGCAAAAGATATAAAAGAGGTGAGTTTTAGTAACTGTGTTGTTTTATAAAGTCTCATTTTAAGTAGTTCTATTTTCTGCTAACTTGGCAAGACTATAAAAAGACTTTTTAGACTAAGAAAGTTTTTGTTTTTTAACTGAAGATGTAGAATTGCGGAGGGCACGACAACCATGTTTCAATACCTCAGAATTGAAATTTATTTTATAGGAAAGAAAGAAATATTACTCACTAGTACCTACTGTTCAGACTCATTATCTTTAAAAAGCTGTGCTTACAGAATACTGAATGGTAAATCAGAAATTCCAATGACGCCGTACAACCTCAACAGCATGCCAAATGTTCGTGTAAACTATAAGGAGCCATAGGTCTTAACTCTGACAATTCTGTTCCACTAAATCAGAACATGAACCAAAGATCAGAGGATGTGGAGGTGTATGATTACAGATTTATTTTTTCCCCACATTAGAATATGGCATTTACAGGGAACTGTGTGCCTTTGAGTAGTGCTAGCATCCTGCAGATCATCACTTCTTGGAAATCCCACAGAATACCAGGTTTCAAAGAAGGCAAAATGAGCAGCATTTTAGCGAATAGCAGAAAGTTTCATTTTTCTCCGGTATCAGTACAGGCTGGGGGATGAAGGGATTGAGAGCAGCCCTGTGAAGAAGGAATTGGGGGTCCCGGTAGATGAAAAGCCGGACGTGACCCAGCAATGTGCGCTCACAGCCCAGAAAGCCAACCGTATCCTGGGCTGCATCACAAGAAGCGTGGCCAGCAGGTCAGAGGAGGTGATTCTGCCCCTCTACTCTGCTCTGATGAGACCCCACCTGCGGTACTGTGTTCAGCTCTGGGGTCCCCAACATAAGGAGGACGTGGACCTCTTGGAGCGGGTCCAGAGGAGGGCCATGAAGATGATCAGAGGGCTGGAGCACCTCTCTTGTGAAGACAGGCTGAGAGGGTTGGGGTTGTTCAGCCTGGAGAAGAGAAGGCTCCAGGGAGACCTTACAGCAGCCTTCCAGTACCTAAAGGGTACCTACAGGAAAGACGGGGAGGGACTCTTTAACAGGGAGTGTAGTGATAGGACAAGGGGTAATGGCTTTATACTGAAAGAGGGTAGATATAGATTCATTCTAAGGAAGAAGTTCTTCACTGTGAGGGTGGTGAGGCACTGGGACAGGTTGCCCAGAGAAGTTGTGGATGCCGCACCCCTGGAAACGTTCAAGGTCAGGTTGGGCAGGGCTTTGAGCAACCTGGTCTAGTGGAAGGTGCCCCTGCCCATGGCAGGGGGGTTGGAACTAGACGATCTTTAAGGTCCCTTCCAACCCAAACCATTCTATGTTCAGATATAACATCTACCTGCAAAATTAAGCTTCGCAGACATTTCTGCCAAACAGAAAGAATACTCCTATGTTGTGGAGATAGCTTTGAACCTGCTGGAGTACATACAGTAGATACTGCAGTACTACACCGTAATTAATTTGAACGCAAAGCCTTCCCCTAGACAAATCAATTGAGATAAACCAAATAACATTTAGTTTGTATTTAAACAGACACTACGTGAATTTGTCTACTAAAATTCTCACATACTTCAGTCAGCAAAAAGTTAGTATCTATGCGAAACAAACTAGACCATACAGTAAAACAAAAATCTTTTAAAAAATACTCTTAAAGTTGACTATTTCAGACAGAAAATATCAAATGTGTATATTCTTATGAAACACTACCTACGTATCTCTCAGCCACTCTGATTAGTACTGTATAGACACCATTAATCATATCAAAATCTGACATAATAGCCAAGTAGATGCTAAAGACCTGCAGAACTAAAGAGAATGCAAAAGATACGGGTGCATGTTTTCTTAAGTCATTAAAATCAGTATTTCCAAAAAAAAGAAAAAGAGATGCTAAAATAAGCATATTCTAGACTTAGTCACAAATCAACATTAGCATTTACAAATATTATTAAAGGACATAAAATTTAATCCTTTCAGTGCTACTCAATCTCTCAGATCTAAGCTCAGCAGACCCTCTCCTTTTCTGACCATCAGAACAAGACAGAAAATATAATTATTTTTTGGACATAGTTACAGAGTTTCTCTGCGCTGTATCTCCTGTGTTACAACAGTAGTCTCTGAAAAGTTACAAAAAGTATTGCATAGTGGAACTGACCACACAATCGTCAAGAACAGCATTTTTGATTCATTAGGCTGCAGGAAAGGAAGAGGCTGTGCATCTGAGGTATAAAGAGCAGAGGTGAAATTATTTCTAACCTTATGAGTAGCTAAGGAAGGAGTTTGATGCACAGCTGAGAGCTACACACCTCTAATGCCACCAGATAAATTAGCAGCATTTAGGATGCAAGTCATGCATCCTTCATGATACTGTTAAGTATATCACCACTGTCTCCTCCTGAAATGGTAGTCTCAGCAACTGACAGGAATATGGATGATGGAGAAGCTTATTAATACTTTAAAAAGAAAAAAAAAGTCAAATCAAGGCTCTTGTATAAATCCTAAACCACGATGGGAAACACGCACACACTAAAGTATTCTAACTGGTATGTGAGCAACTGAACGAGCATTAATTTATTGGCCTATAATCCATTCAGGTTTTTAAGATCCTTCTAACAATCTCAAATATTTTCTTTGAGATCCTGTAGAACAAGCTACTAAGAGGAGGCAAATCCTACCTAGCAGTAAACATAATGTTGTGTCAAATCTACAGACATCTAGAATTTCGACCTGCAACACTAAAAGCCTGGTTAGACACTTGAAAAATATTTTGTTGCTGACATAAACAACAAAGTTACGACAATCAGTTGAAGGAGAAGGGACCGTGTTAGAAACTGAGCCCATAGGACAAACGATTCATGCCAAACTACCTTAATACTCTTTTTCAGTTTTCATTTGGCACTTTCAATTATACAATGCACATTGTTGAACCCAAATCTTCTGGTTTCCCTCACCAAGAAAACAGTAACAGTAAAGGCATCACCGGGTGCTGCAGAACCAAAGCAAAGAGTGAAATGGCACCTCATAGCTTGCAATTACCTGGGCTCTGTTCTTGTTTTAAATAGCATAAAAGAGATGTAATATATATTATTCACTTATAACTTCAGATAAAGTAAAAGGAAGATAATTTGATGGAACAGATGTTAACTAAAGATCCAGCAAGGGAAAAATGTATTGGAGGAACAGGGCAAGGATAACCAAGTTGTCCTAAGACAACCTGCACAAAGCATTCTGAGCCACAAGGGATGGCAGCACGTTCACAACCCCAAAGGCCTTCTCATCTGTGCATAATCTTCCCAACGAATAGAAAAGGGAAATACAAGTTTTAAAATGGTGGAGTAAATAGGGCACATTTTTACCTACAGGTCCTTGGAAAACCACTAAGGATAAATGGAGTGTATGTGTGCACGCTTGTGAAGGGTTCAGAAATTCTGGTACCAGTGCAGACAGTTAAGCACAGACCAGTATCCTGAATCACTAACAAAATTCCTGCTGAAAGCTTACAACAGCCATAGCACATTCTGGGGGGAATGGTATTAAGCAGAGAAGTTAATATAGATTTTAAAATAAATAATACGGAAAATAACAAAGGATACTTACTTCATTGTTCGCTATTTCACTTGGTGTTGGCCAGTTTGTGATATCACCAAAATCATCAGCCTGCAAAGACGACAAACAGTTAGATTTAGTCCTTTTTAATACAAGGAAGATATCACTCATGACTCAGATGGCCAGACAAACTCTTTGAGCAGAATTGTTAGAAGTAGCAATTTTTAAAAACTGAGAAATACAACAGAAAACAAACACACAACTTTTGAAAACAGAATATGATCAATTTTAGAAACAACTATTCATTGCAGTTACATCCAAATCAAGGTCCAATACATCTTAGCTTGTAATTTGTATAACTGTCTAAAGAATGCCTTCACAAAGAATATTTTAAGCGGGCACAGACAAAAAAAAAGATAGCAAGCGAACAAAATTTTCTACATTCTATTACAAAACAAACCAAGAGGGCTTATGACTTTTGAGCACACATAAAACAATTGTCAGATTAAATGCTGCCTCACACATAGCTTCCCATGTGATTTAAAGGCATCTACTGCTTAAAAGTCTTTTAGCTTTTGGAAGACCTTTGAGCACAGGTATTATTCAACCTCAAAAGGGGTGGCTGTACAGAACTTTAGAAACTTCATTTTTCAACAAAAAGGATTCAGTGTCTCCTGTTGTCATAACGATAAATTTATAACAGCACATAAGGAACACACATCACATGACAAGCAAAAAGGATTTCCAAAACCAATCTAGCATCACTTGTGCTCAAGCGATGTTGTTTCTTGGCAGCCCCTTCACATTTTTATATAATCCCATTGCTTTTTTTAAATAAAAGTGCCTTTCCTTGTCCCTCATACATACACCACTTTAGCATCCCTTCGAATTTTAAATTCCCCTTCCTTTTTTACTTTTCTGTGTCTTCAAAATTAACCATTACCAAGGCAGAACACAACACTTCTGGTTGTAACTTCAAAATACCTTGCTATCTTTTTATTTTAGTAATATCAGCTGTTTACCAAATTGAATATTTACAGCCAGAAATACTCCTTTGAAATTATTTCATTTTCTTACCATATTATCAGCTGAGCTAAATGCCAGTTTGTATTAACAGGTTAGATTAACTGGGACTTCTAACACAATCAGTCCAGTAACTCATAGCTAAATGTCCTTCTGGCAAATACAAACCTTGCTGCATTTCCTTGTCCTGGGTTTCACTGCTTTTATAACTTTAGTGGAATTTTGTAGTTCTGAAAAGGAAGAAAAATATTTTCAGGTGAAGAATTAGACTGCACTTTAAAAGAGTAAGGAAGGCATATTTTAACAACCCTGTTTAACAACCTATCATACTACACCAAAGGCTTTTTGAGGCCTTGGTATCGAAGTCAATAAACATTTCCGTAAAATAACTAATAGTATGTGACACTGAGAAACTCAAATTCACAATGACTGCAAATAATCTTGAAAACCAGGTGTACAGGATACCGTATAACACAGTATTTAAGCATTTGCTGAGATATAAGGTCAAGACTAAAACCGCTGGTATTTTAACCTAAGAAGTAGCAAAGAAAATGAGCCCCTGAAACACATTTTAAATATAGCTTCTAATAGGATAACTTTTATAAGACCAAATTTATGAAATCTATCATTATGCAAGCATGAAAAAAAAAAAAAACAGAAGCAATTACATATTCACAAATTCCCAGTAATTGCCTTTTATATGCATTTACTCAAATGCCAAATAAAATTTAGCCATATTGCTCATAATCAAGCAAAAGCAGTGGGGAAAAAGAAAAAGGAAAGGCGAAAAGAGAAAATTACTATAAAAGCTACATTAAGACTAATAAATTTTAATGCCCAAATTCCACAGTGGATATGTTTATGATAAATATGTGCATTTGCAACAAAGCTGACACTCATACATTTTAAGAACCAACCTGAGTCAAGACCTAAACTTTATAATAATGGTCCCATCTGACCTCCTAAGCATGAGTCCATTATACTTCTACCAGTAATATCTGCCAGGAATTAATATAATGTTTGTAAATAGTGCTCTCATATATGGCAATATTATTGGGCCTAATGATCTAGGATCAATAACCTACACTGAAAAAAAACCAGTCTATTTAAACTTACTACGTATTGTAGTACATGTGCAATTACCCTTCCGTATATGAATCTGATTTTCTTATTCTGTGCAATTTTTCCCTACTCATCTCAGTTGCGTTCTACTTCTTGCGTTGGGAATTCGGGGCGGGGGGGGAACACTAGTATCAGGCAATTTTTCTTGGGAGATTAGAACTGAGACAAGGGAAACCACTTCTTAACTTCTCTTGTTAAGCCCTGGTTCTGTTCTCCCAGTGCATATTTTCCCATAGAGAAGTGGTCACAACCCTTCCTTGAAACGTCTTATTCAGTATTTTATTGCAAGACAAGCTTGAAACATTGAACATGACTGAAATCACTAGTGGATTATTATTTCATACAGGGATAACATCACCTCCTCAACCCTTATCTCTTTCACATCCAGTGACTAATCTTCCTTATCGCAGCTTCACACTGGGAACCCCACCCTCGTGCCCCAGTGACTGAAACCCCCCTCTGTCTACTTCCTGGAATATACTGTGAACGTTAGAAACACAAACTAAAGTATACTCCATATTCCACTGCAAATTATATTAATACTGCTATATACAGCTTGCACACCACACAAGACATGTGAATTCAATGAACGCTGATCGGCCTTTGACCTTCGCCACACCATTTACCAGCAGGTTTTCTTCCTCTCCTACAGATCTGCTTTTTAAAACAAAGACAAAACACACTCCCTCCAAACTGCCTCTTTCTTGTTATTCAGCCACAGTTAACTTTAGACTGAGAGCTTTCAGAAACACAGTGACTGTGTAATCCGAATTTTTACTTGTCATTCAACAGTAAACTAATTGCTCTTTACAAAACAAGACAAACAGCTGTAGAGGTGGAGCAGCAAACAAATTTGTAATTTTCTCCAACAAAACTGCCAATTATCTGTAAAGGTAAACTGACTGGCCATAGCATTTGTCCTCCAGTAGTTGGTAAACACGCACCTCTCTTTAGCTGTTCAATTACCTTACTGAAGCCCTTTTTCCATCTCACAGCACTTCTACTTAAATTGCTGCCGAAGGATTGCTCTGCCAGAACTTCTACTCTGTGTGTCACCAGGGCGTAGCAAGGGATTAAAAAATAAAAGACTCTATGTCGCTGCACTATCTTAGTCATGGGATATTATTCCAGGCAGCAGGAGAGGCTATCTGAATCGACAGAATGAGACCCAACTTGTTTTAAGGAATCTCTCTTATCTGTATGTAGTAATCCAAGACTCGGAAGATGCATTTGCACACTAAATGAAAAGAAAATTACTGTTAGGCAACACACCGCCTAGTTGATGATGCCTTTTCTGAACACAAAGGCCCGAGATCTCACCACGCTCCGTACTTCCCTACCCAAAAACAACTCCACAGAGTTTCTTGTCCTCCCAGAAGAGCCATGCTCAAAACCAAATTTTACCGATCGTTCCTGACCAGCTTTATGGGGCTTCTTGTGTGGGAGTTGGATTTTAGTGTGAAGCATGAAAGGGAAGATAAAGGGGAAGGGGGGGGGGGGGAAAGGTCACATCTGTTGTTACGAACAGGCCTAGGCCTAGAGCCACTGTTCAGGCAAAAGCTACTCTAGAGTGCATTTAGATAAAAGCTCTATGCTTAATATTACTCCGGTGTTTAGTTTCAACATCACACAACAGTGCTGAACACCCAGAAATGGCATCTTTAGTACACTGCTTCAGCAGAACCCAGCAAGCCCTTGCAAATAAACTATTTCACTTACTGTTAATTCCAACCTAACTGTATTAAAATGGTTTATTCAGTCATATGCTACAAAGTAACTTGTTTAGTAAGGCATACAGTGTTGATAAAAGAATTCAGTTATCTTCAATTACTTTACTTGCTGGGTTTCAACTAAGTTTTGAGGGAGAAAAAAAATAATTAAATATGTGGAAGTTTAACTGCCAATGATCATCTTTCAATCACTGAACTCCATCCAGTAAAGATGCCATCCCCATGAAGACAGAAATCAGCCTTCAAAGCCATTTTTATTCTGGTTCTTCCAAGTCTCTTAATACATCGTATATCAACACGAGGTATTTTCTGCAGAAAGACGTGGATGTGCAAACATGCCAAGTGCAGTATGTCAAGATACATGGGATGACAGTTCTGAAAAATGAGAGATGAATTTTGGAACTACAAAACCAGCAGCAATCCTCCGGAGCAACAGAAAAGAAAAAGCAGACTGGATGGTGTGCAGAGGCAAGAGAAGTAAAGTTTGTACATAAAGATGTACCACTGATTATGAGACAAATTACGTTTTCAGTAGTAGTACTTCAGAATGGATGGTTTGAAGTTCTGCAAATAATTAGTCAGCAAGTAATTTTTTCTGATAGAAGGGGAGGGATCATATTGCCAATTTCTTCTGAAAGCAAAGTCTATTAATATAAGGTAGAACACATTCTACCTTTGACACAAATGTGGTTTATCCTATAAGGACTTCTAGACAATATTAAAGTTTTATTTTTTACTTGGACTGCATGTGTATTTCCTTCAGCAAAGGAACAATATCGCATAAATACCAGAAGTGCTTCAGGACGCAGCTGAAATCACCCAGCAGAACAGCTCTTCAAAACTTCAGTGGAACATATTTGCTGGATCTTGTACTACCTTTTCCTTTCAATGTTCAGTTTGAAACTCCACAGTATAATTCATTTTTAAACACGGTAAGCTCTGCTTAAATCTATCGTTTTAACAGATAAATGTGAAAGCCTTGCAAACGTGACAATCTCTTGCAGTATATCATAATTTAAATCTAGAGCATGGATTTAGATCCTTTCCTACAACAGTTCTAACATTTTATAGCAAAACTACATTAGATTGACCTTCTTCTCACTATTTGAACAACTAACCAAGGCAATGAGTTATGACACCTGCACATCCTTCCACCTATTTACATTCAAAACCAGTCATTTTTTCAATACAGCAAGCAACAGGGAAAAAAATCCCCAATACAAGATTGATTAACCTTATACTATTTATTTTCCTTGCATTTAATTTCTCATTTCATTTTTGTCTTAGTTTCTTCCTAGAAAGCTGCAACCTGTGACTCAATTTCTACAAAAGCTTTCATGGTCTAAAGGGAGCACGTGCTAGAGCACAGCAAGCCAGTAGCATGTCTTCAACTCTAGGCAGCAGGATGGATTTCTCTCTCGTAACAGGTCTCCAGTTTAGAAACAACAACAACAACAAAAACCCTACCATCTAAAATGACATATGCTGTTATATACAACTAAAATACAGACAGCAGGTTTGTAAAGATAATGTTTTTAATCCCTTCAGGGTTGGGGTAACCGTCAATGTTGTACCTTCTGATAATTTTAAAAATAATTTTTAAAAGCTGGTATTAAAACACTCGGTGAATTTATAAGAACTAACGATAATATCTGCCTTAGATACACAAAAAAAAAAAATCGATAATCAGATCATCTACCAATTTATTAGTCAAGCTTGCTATTCCTAGTAACACAGTATACCTTTACTAAACTGTACTTTTACAACCTGTTTTGCTAACAGACTAAAGCAAATCAATTTATACCATATAGCACTACAGTGAACCGGGTCTGCTACCAGAATATCAATCAGATAAAAGGTGTTCTTTGATGCCCAGAAATAAACACAATGAAAAAAGACAAATGGAGCACAATACAAGACTGAGGTGTGCAGTTATTTTAATTAACTACATCACTCAAGGACGCTAGGAAGCAAACCCACTTCAACCACTTAAGCAGCACAGGTATTTTGCTTCATTGAATACTTTCATAAATATCATGAACATTTTTTGAATAATCATCTAATGAATTATTACAGACCCACATCAGCTATACAAATCACATGAAGACTAGAGAACCTGTCATTCAGATTCCCTTCTACAAGCTTACAAAAAGGGCAGCACTTTGGATTTCATCAAACTAAGAGGTGGGAGAACTTTCGTAATAAAATGATTTCAACAACTCCATCCTGGTCAAATTATTTATATGGAGGAAGGGTAACTAGCCTCTTCTGTGAGAGCCCGGCTCTGAGGGGTAGCTGAGGAAAAACAAGGAATACGGCACTAACGCTGGGTTGTGCAGCTTCCATGTGGACACATATTGTTGGCTCAATTTAAAAAAAGCTTATCCTGTTACCTTGTAAAAAATTATCTACAGGATTATATAGGACTTCTTCCTTGCAACCTTTCCTCTTCTTTTACTCACAGAGCTTCAACTTGAAGAACTGAAGACTTACTGCAATATATTGGCTGGCTGGGTGCCACAAGGGAAGGAAGACACACCGCAGAAGTACCTGTCATCATTTGACAGCCTATACTAAAGCTCACTCCCTGCGTTCACGATCATTGGGATTAGATAGAAGGCTATTAATTTCACTAGCAATTTTATACTGCCGCCAATCTTTCTCCACGAGTTAAATGCAGATTAGAATGTAAAAATAGCTGAATAGCAAAAAAATTCTGAAGTTGTTCTGTTTAAAAGCAAATTTTAATACAAGTTTAATAAACTTTTATATTTAAGTTTTATAAAAATAACTTAAAAGTTTTTTAGGCTTTGTTAAAAGCTTAGTCAGAAACACCGAAATGTAACAAACATACCATGAAAAATTCAAATATGTTTACATTAGATGTTCGGTTTACTATAACATGATTAAAACCTACTAACATGTCCGAGACAAAAACATAATAGGGCACGGTAACAACGCTTTGACCGAATTCTTTCGCCAAGAATTTTAAGCCTTTTACATTACTTTTTTCCTTCTAGTGTCAGCTGACATTAACAGTTTATTTCAGTAACAAGAGTCAGGTTTGCCTCTATTACAAACTAATGCCACGCTAAATTCAAAGTCAAAAGATGACAGACTGGGGTCAATTTTCTCAAGCGTGTAACTATCACTGAACACACCATATGTGCACGTCTCAGGAAACTTTCAACAAATTAAGCCAGGATCAACAAGTCGAACAGGATTCAGTCACTACTTTGATGTGAGATTCTTTTACGTTTTATTATCCTCTTTACGGATAGTTCTACATTCCATGCCTGTAGTATTTTTGCTCATCTACTTATTATTTCACATGACTAATTTCCATACTACTACATTCGTAAGGGCCTAGCGTGACTGATTTTGCTTTGCCAATATGCAATTAGTTACTTCAAAATACATCCCTCGTTGCAGATGGAGGCCCATGGCAATTCCTTCCTTCAAACACCCAGGAAAGATCAGCTGCTTTGTCTTTTACAAGGGAAAGAGCAGTGGCTCCTTCTTGGTGCTCTTGGTGCTGGCCAAACCAAAACACGCACCCTAGTATGTGTTCTTCACCGATGCCATTACCAGCAACGGTGACTCCCGTATTTGCTCAATTATACAGTTGCCACTGAAAAAGACGTTCCGGTGCAACAACTCGGTTTAATATTAACTTGATAAATGGTAAGCACGATTTTTACACAGAAGAAAAATAATTTTTCGTTCTCTGAAATCATCAAATTAAGCATATAATGCACACAGTACATGAAGTCACCGCCTCCTTTCTCCTCCTTCCTTCAACAACGATTTGTGTATTCTACCTTAAGTGGAAAAGTAAACTTTACAGAAGGCGAAGCACGAGGTGGCTAATGCAACAAAAGAAGCTTTCGCAATGATTCTGATGTACCATTATTATTACTGCCACAGCAAGGCAAATGAGTGACAAATTCCCTTTCATGCATGGACAAGACCACAAGCTGCTGCCCAGCAAGCAAGATTGTAGAAGCTATGCATAAATAGGTATTTATGAGTGCGTCAGTACACACAAACTAAACAGTCGAGATGATAAAGATGACTATATATGTTGCCAAAAGGTTTGATCTTCAGTTAAGTAGAGATTCTGTGGTCTGGAGAACTCCTCTGCTTGCACGACCTGCATACTTGAAACTATAAATTACATATTTCTCTTTGTGAAGGAAGTACACGTGTAATTCAAGGATAAAAGCGACTGTGAGATCACAAAAAGGTTTGTCAGGTGCCTTCAGGTGCAAGCGCTGAGATTGAAATTCTCAGGAAACGCAGGTTGAAATACGTATTTTGAGGTCAGCGGTTTACTTCCAGCCAAGAACAATACTCCAAGAAGCTGCTAACTTCCAGGAACTCTTTGCTAGCCTAAGCATAAAGCCTGGCCATTTCAAGTCAGGTCTTTGATGACCAACTTAGTAAAGCCATCTACCCGTTTAGTCGGTATGGAGCCTATAAAGTAGCTCTCTCTTACGTATGGTGATTAAAGACCAGAAAATTATACACGGCTACTCTCGCTCCCTTCTCTTTCCACAAAAACAGCCCGAATCCCGAGAGCAAGCAAACTGACTACTTGCGTTAACGCTTAAAGCCTCCACCACCCAAATCTTCTGGAAAGCAAAACCAAGTAACGGATCGTACGGAAGACCTTGCTATATAATTAAACAAAAAAGACCTGCGGTAAAGCAAGCGAGCGCCGCCGTCGTTATCGTGTCGTGTCCCCCCCCGCCGCCGGCTCCGGGCGGCGGCCGGACCCCACCTCCCCTCGCTCGCTTCCCTCCTCTGCCCATGTATGTCAAAAGCCCGAGGGCCCGGCTCGCCTCCCGCCGAGCTGCACCGCCGCCGAGGCCGACCCGCACCCGGGCCC